GATGATGATGATGATGATGATGATATTGCCCGTCGTCGTTGCGGTACGGGGCAAAGCCCAGCCCAGGCTTTTGCCGTATGTATATATAATATTCAATGAAAAAAACTATATCATATATCATATGTGTTTTTTTACACTTTTGAAAATAAGTAAATATATATATATATATATTCATTACAAAACAATTTTGAAAATATTAATAGATTACCAAAAATTAATCAATTATTATCTAATAATATTTATTCAATTATACTATATTTAATTATATATTTAAATATATGGGGGCAATTGGTATTTCATATTCATCACCTCTGGAGCCTTGTGGTCTGGCCGGCCCTCCACTTATTTAAATCTTATTGCCGTGTGTATGGATTTCCCCTGTATTTTTTTCATCCTCCCAACAGACTTCAAAAATAGGAGTTAAGAAAATATAGAAAATTAATGATAATTAATGTTGATTTGTATGGATTTGTAAGAAACTCTCGCAAACGTCGCCAGCGCATGCCACTCCGCGGCTCTTTTGGCTGGAGCTGCTGGAGCTAACAACGCGACTCTTATCGTTTTCAAGTACGGTGAGTTGACCAATGGAAAATGGCGTATTCTTGGGGCAATTATCTAGCGCGGTTCTCTGGCCAGAACATGCCAGAACTACGTTACGCTTAGCCTAGTCATTCAAATTTGAAAAGCAGTTGTTTTCACATAACTTCATAAGTCACTTTTGTGACGCTGGCCAAAACGAAGGTGAAGCGGTAATTCAGCTCAAACATGCTCAAACAAATTTATGGATTCTTAGGCTACTGTGATCGTGGAGTTGCCCAAACAGGACCGGGAACAACTGGTGCAAGAAAGGAAGAGGGAAAGAAAGGATCTGGATGGATCTGGCCTGACGATGTTTCACTTGAATCGCTATGTGTCAAGTATCTAGCGCCACACTAGCGCAAATCTAGCGCTAAGCTGCAGGAAAGCGATTTCACTGCGTATATTCAGGGCTCTATTTATGTCCTTCGGATTTAAGTGCCTTACGTGCAGGAATTTAGAGCGGATCTCATATATATATCCTATATTATCCAATTAATTCCACTTTTTGATAATAATTACATACAATTACAACTTTGCGTGCTTTCCTTTCAATCAATCAAATTCAATCAATATATCCAAGTTTGAAATTTACATAAATTTATATAATATAGGTTACAGATTAGTGTGGGGAGGCCCCCCCCAAACAAATTTTGGATACAGAATAGTGTGGAAAAAACAAGGTACCGGGTACGCAATACGGTGAAATCAAAAAAAAAAAATTAAATTGATTTCAATTTATTTTCAATTAATTTCAATTTATTTTGAATTGATTTGAAGTTATTTTAAATTAATTTCAATTTATTTTCAATTGATTTCAATTTATTTTCAATTGATTTGAAGTTACTTTAAATTGATTTCAATTTATTTTGAATTGATTTCAATGTATTTTCAATTAATTTGAAGTTACTTTGAATTAATTTCAATTTATTTTGAAATGATTTCAATTTACTTTCAATTAATTTGAAATTACTTTGAATTAATTTCAATTTACTTTCAATTGATTTCAATTTATTTTGAATTGATTACAATTTACTTTCAATTAATTTGACTTAGATTTAAATTGATTTCAATTTACTTTCAATTGATTTCAATTTACTTTCAATTGATTTGAAGTTACTTTCAATTGATTTCAATTTACTTTCAATTAATCTCAAGTTACTTTCAATTAATTTAAAATTGCTTTCAATTAATTTAAAGTTACTTTCAATTGATTTAAATTAATTTCAATTTATTTTCAATTAATCTCAAATTACTTTCAATTAAATTCAAGTTACTTTCAATTGATTTCAAATTACTTTGAATTGTTTTCAATTTACCTTCAATTAATTTCAATTTATTTTGAATTGATTTCAATTTACTTTCAATTGATTTGAAGTTACTTTCAATTAATTTCAATTTACTTTCAATTAATTTCAATTTACTTTCAATTGATTTAAAGTTACTTTGAATTGATTTCAATTTATTTTGAAATAATTTCAATTTACTTTCGATTCACTTTCAATTGATTTTAAGTTACTTTCAATTGATTTGAAGTTACTTTCAATTGATTTCAATTTACTTTCAATTAATTTCAATTTACTTTCAATTGATTTAAAGTTACTTTGAATTGATTTCAATTTATTTTAAAATGATTTCAATTTACTTTCAATTCACTTTCAATTGATTTTAAGTTACTTTCAATTGATTTGAAGTTACTTTCAATTGATTTCAATTTACTTTCAATTGATTTCAATTTACTTTCAATTGATTTCAATTTACTTCCAATTGAATTCAATTTACTTTCAATTGATTTCAATTTACTTTCAATTGATTTCAATTTACTTTCAATTTGCTTTCAATTTACTTTGAATTTATTTTCAATTGATTTCATTTTACTGCCAATTTACTTTCAATCGACATCCCATAGAAATCCAATAGTAGTCCCAAAGAAATATCATAGAAATACCATGGAAATCCCATAGGAATCTCACAGAAATACCATAGAACGATCATAGAAATAACATGGAATAGCATAGGAACCACAAAAGAAATCCCATGAGAATTCCAATAATAATCCCATAGAAATATCATAGAAACATCATGGAAATACCTTGGAAATCCCACAGGAATCCAATAGAAATTCCATAGGAATCCAATAGAAATACCATAGAAATCCCATAGGAATCCAATGGAAATCCCATAAGAATACCATAGAACTCCCATAGCACCCCTTCAGAAATCCCATAGAAATCCTCCAGAAATATCATAGAAACACTTTAGCAAAGGAAAAGGTAAAGGGAATGCTTGAAAAAAACATCACACCAGGAAGCAGCTGGACACAATAGTGTACCCTCGAAACAAACCACACTATTGTGTATCAGGGTTGCTCATGGACTACCCCCTTGAAAAATTGTTTGAGTGATGTTTTTTAATTGGGTTTTAAAAAGGCATCATATATTTTGGGAAACTGGGCATTTCTGAGAATATCAAATGAAAGAAACTAAGAAGTAAAATTTAATTAAAAGGAAAAAACTTTAGCAAAGGAAAAGGTAAAGGAAATGATTGCAAAAAAAACAAAATCACCTCAGGAAGCAGCTGGACACAATAGTGTACCCTCCAAACAAACCACACTATTGTGTATCAGGGTTGCTCATGGACTACCCCCTTGAAAAATTGTTTGAGTGATGTTTTTTATTGGGTTTTAATAAGGCATCATATATTTTGGGAAACTGTGCATTTCTGAGAATTCAAATGAAAGAAACTAAGAAAGTAATTAATTAATTAAAAGAAAAAACTTTAGCAAAGGAAAAGGTAAAGGAAATGATTGAAAAAAAAACAAAATCACCTCAGGAAGCAGCTGGACACAATAGTGTACCCTCCAAACAAACCACACTATTGTGTATCAGGGTTGCTCATGGACTACCCCCTTGAAAAATTGTTTGAGTGATGTTTTTTAATTGGGTTTTAATAAGGCATCATATATTTTGGGAAACTGGGCATTTCTGAGAATATCAAATGAAAGAAACTAAGAAAGTAATTAAGTAATTAAAAGAAAAAACTTTAGCAAAGGAAAAGGTAAAGGAAATGATTGAAAAAAACAAAAAATCATGACCTCAGGAAAGCAGCTGGACACAATAGTGTACCCTCCAAACAAACCACACTATTATGTATCAGGGTTGCTCATGGACTACCCCCTTGAAAAATTGTTTGAGTGATGTTTTTTAATTGGGTTTTAATAAGGCGTCATATATTTTGGAAAACTGTGCATTTCTGAGAATTTCAAATAAAAGAAACTAAGAAAGTAATTAATTAAAAGAAAAAACTTTAGCAAAGGAAAAGGTAAAGGAAATGATTGAAAAAAAACAAAAAATCATGACCTCAGGAAAGCAGCTGGACACAATAGTGTACCCTCCAAACAAACCACACTATTATGTATCAGGGTTGCTCATGGACTACCCCCTTGAAAAATTGTTTGAGTGATGTTTTTTAACTGGGTTTTAATAAGGCATCATATATTTTGGAAAACTGTGCATTTCTGAGAATTTCAAATGAAAGAAACTAAGAAAGTAATTAATTAAAAGAAAAAACTTTAGCAAAGGAAAAGGTAAAGGAAATGATTGCAAAAAAAACAAAATCACCTCAGGAAGCAGCTGGACACAATAGTGTACCCTCCAAACAAACCACACTATTGTGTATCAGGGTTGCTCATGGACTACACCCTTAAAAAAATGTTTGAGTGATGTTTTTTTTATCGGGTTTTAATAAGGCATCATATATTTTGGAAAACTGTGCGTTTCTGAGAATTTCAAATGAAAGAAACTAAGAAAGTAATTAATTAATTAATTAAAAGAAAAAACTTTAGCAAAGGAAAAGGTAAAGGAAATGATTGAAAAAATCAAAAAATCATGACCTCAGGAAAGCAGCTGGACACAATAGTGTACCCTCCAAACAAACCACACTATTGTGTACCTGAATGTAATTTTCTGTGGAAGGCATCTGGAAAATTTCAATGATGGAGAATAAACAGTAAAAGAAAAAAGCTTTAAAAAATGAAAAAAATGAAAAATGTTTGAACAACAAAAAAGACCAAGACACAATTGTGTATCCTGACACAATGACACAATTGTGTATCCTGACACAATGTTAAAAAACAATTTAAAAATTTTAATTAAAAATAAAAGAATTAAATTAAAAATTATTATAATTAAAAATAAAAAATAATTTAAAATAATAAATAATAATTAAATTAAAAATTAGTATAATTAAAAATAATATAAAATAATTATAATTAAAAATAAAAATAAAAAATAATTAAAAATAAAAATTATTATAATTAAAAATAAAAATAAAAAACAATTAAAAACTAAAAAACAAAAAAATGAAAAAAAACTTACACCAAAATCCTGTGGACACAAAACTGTACCCCTCGATCATTTCCAAAGTTACAAAATAATTTTGGAGTCTGTGGACACAATTCTGTATCCCCACACTAATCTGTATCCCACATTACTATTCATGATGTATTTTTTCATGTTTGAGTTTCTTGTTCTGGCAGATCGCGGAATATTCCTTGGAAGAGCTGTGGTGATTTGATCCCAAATGATCCCAACCAATGGTACGCACTACTGAGGCTCAAGCAATTGATTTGATAAGGCAAAGGACAAATTGGCTATCCCCTGTCGCGTGATGCAGTAAGAATCATGGGATTCTGGCTGAGTTTTGATGGCCTGGCCTGCTCCGAAAATTCAGCCAGCCGCTTGCAACCTTTTTGGATGAGCAGCGCTCCTCAAGCTCTGCTTTGCATTGCAAATGAACATTTGATAACATTTGTATACATTTGTCGCATGCTTATTGGAAAAAATGGGAAAACAGCAAAACTCAGCGTGCGAACGGAAGATGCCCTGCTTTGCAGCATGCTTTGAAACCTCGGGTCTGAGGAATTCAGGATACGTCAACCGCCCAGAAAAGTTGCACGTCTTCAGCTGATACGAGCCTTCCAGGCATTCTCCCTGCCTCGGCAATCCTTGCCATCGCCCACACGGTGGTGGATATCTGCATGGCACCAAAACCTAACAGCAGAGCTGCTACACTGCTACAAGCTTTAATTACCAAAATTCTACTTCCCCGCGGTGCCTTTCAGACCGTCACTGCAAGCTTGGCGTTGAAACCTAAGTCACTAACAGCTTCTATGCTACCAGCGCAAGCTGCCACAAAAGATACAAAAGTTGCTCGCCTTATCTCGCCTTCTCCTTGCAAACAGGCTGCAAGAAAACCAATGGTTCTGGGGCCTGAGAAAGCCTTAGCTGGCAGAGCTTCAACGCCCACTTTGCAGTTTGCATGAAGCAAAACAAGACAAACATGAAGGACTTGATTTTGGCAATTGAGGCCAGCACTTTGCGAACGCCCACAGAGTCATCGCTATATTCCTTGCCAAGTAGCAATCACATGTTATTGACTGCCTGCTGCTTGCTGCTGGGTTACTGTGGTGAAAACTCTCTGTAGCTGGCCGCTGCCTGATTTTCACTATCTGTTTCCAAGGCAGGAAAGGAACACAGGTTTCAAGTACAGCGACGGCACAAATCTGAAAGTGCCCTCACCTGCTGCGCAACTGCATCACTCGCGTCGCCAGCATGTTCAAAGGTATCCTGACCATGAGCTGTCACGCTTTCGCTGGATTACCAATGATTTGAACATGCAAGCGTGGAAGGCACTCAAAAAGCACAGCTGCATTGACTGCATCGAAATCATTGACTTGTGGGACCAGGCCTCTGCCCTTGCAACTGCCATGGCCCAAACCAGGGTCGTCAGGTGTTGTGGCCTTACAATTTTACAGAAACAAACGCCTCCTTTTGGCACGGAAAACACCACAGCTCCACTGGGCTTGTGGCAACAACTCCTCCGAAGACTCCGAAGTTACAATCACAGAAGGACAGGCATGGCATGCTGCCCGCCAGAAACTTGGGCGGAAAGTGCAAACCGGAATATGGAAGCTGGATAAGCTGGAGACATGATGAGACATGGATAAAAAATAGCAGAAATGTCTCTGATCGCCTGATCGCATTGAAAACTGCAGTCTTTGTGAATTTCCGTTCTCAGGAGCGAACTCTGCACCCTCGGTGACTGCTAGCCTTCATAGCGTGCAGGATCCGGGGCGGGAGGTTCGGTCTGGCTGTGGGTGTGCACTGGTGAAATTGGGTGCCAAACTGAAGGGCAGCCACAGCCCAGCACGTGTTGGACAAACCCTGCAAGTGAATTCAAAGATATTCAAAGGATTTCAAAAGAATGCACAGGAGCAAAGTAGTTGGGACTGGTCAGCATAAATTCCTATACGGCCCATCATGGGCCCACTGTGACCCATTCAAACATGTCACCTCGAAACCATTCTGATGCTATGCATGCTATGCCAAGCAAGTGCACCTGCGAATTCATCTCAAAAGTCCGCGGAGCCTTTCTTGTGATCCACTTGCAGCCAGTTGGTGCAAACTGCCATGACAATCACCAAATATCAGCAGTCGTAGCAGCGGTGAGCGTACACACTACTTGGAGACAAGCCCTCAGGCTCGGTCGCCAGCAAGTGCCAACGAGACCGAAAGTGACTCCAACCTCGCTCGGTGTGACGTCGATTGGGACTAGGAGTTACAAGACAAACAAAAGGCATCAAAAGGCCTCAAAGAGCATGAAACAAGTCAAAATTCGAACTTCACCTATGGAAGTCTGATCAAGTATGTGTAATTATGCAATATGATTTAGTTAATCGACTTGTTATCTGAAGGCTGGCTGCCTTGATTCTATAAGTATTGGATAGTATTGGTCCTGCAAAAATTCCTCGGAATCGAACTCAGGAGCTGCACTACTTAGCTTCGCCACCGCCTGAGTGTCGCCCACCAACATCCATTCGGGACATGTTGTACTCAGTCAAACATTGCACCATATGGCACAACTTGGCACCAATAGTTCAGCCATGTTCAGCCGGTATGCCACCAACACGTTGCAGTACACATCACAACTATCCGTCTCTCTCCATATCAAGAGATTCGGACCCAACAAACGTTGGACAGGCTTCGATGTCCAAGACCTTCGCTTTCCAGCTCCTGAGCTACCAGCCATTTGGATCCATTTGGTCATTTTGGTCATTTTGGATTCCTTTGGTCAGTCTGAAAACACCAACGTTAAATGGATCCAACTGGGGCACCTTAGTGAGCCGCGGGGCAAGCTTTCGGCCCACCTCAGGTCATCTCAGGTCGTCAATCAGTGCCCCAAGGGCCCAAGGGCCAACTGAAAGCTGAATTTCACTCAGGCTGAAGCCCTACCAACTGACCATTTGCCAGCGTCCAGCCTATGGACGCACAGTTGTGACGTGCAATACAGGTGGGTAGCGCACCACGCCTGGTATCTAGGGTGGCCAAGCCATATATGCAAGTTGCCACCTGAGGTGCGAACCATTCATCAAAGTGATATGATGTGAGATACTCTCTGTGAGCCCTTTTCCGACTCTACAGCACATGCTTGAAAACGTTAGTGACGGGTCAAGGAACATGTGGAGGAGGTACTAAGAAAATGTCACCACCTGACCAGCTCTAATAATTCATGGCATTTGAGAGGTGCTGCTGACATTCCATGCAAAAGTTGTCTCGAAACGCGATCAAGCAGCATGACGGCCGTCAAACTCAGGCAATCTTTCCTGACATCTTAAAGGCGGTACGTTTGGTATTGGCACTTTGCGGGGCCATGATGATAAGATGATGTTACATGGTACTTGGTAGCCCCAGGAACCTCACGCGCCCCGGCCTCGACGATTGAACCCAAATCGTCTACCGACCTGCTGGGAAAAGCACATGGAGACACATTGAGGAGTTCAACCTATGTTTGATTCAGGATTGGTAAAGAACAAAGGGATACAAAGGGCATCAATTTTGATTTGGCACTGTTGAGTGCATAAAAGAGTCGAAACGCATCACACATTATCACACACTCTTTTGCAACGGACCTGGCCGTGCGCAGTTCCTTGTTCAACTGCAGCACCGTAGCAGCCTCAGAGCAGAATCACCCAAAACCACAGTGTTGGTCGTACCACATCCTGTCCTTGAGGTGCAGCAACTTGCCTTTGCACATTTGGATGTCATATACGGGCGTTGTATGCCGTTCACGGGCTCAATCTACCAATGTGTCTTTAAACTCTTAAGGCGAATGGGAAATGGAGTATGAGGTGGGCCTTGGACCCTCCTCGCCGCATTTCTGCATGGCTTCTGTTTGAGGAGGCACTAAAAACTCGGCAACAAAATGATGTGACTGTTACCTCATGTCATGACTCAGAAGTTGACACCGTGTGGCCAAGTCCCAAAATCAACATCATGCAACAGTTTTGTCCATCCTCTTGTTGCGCACACTCTGCGGCGCTGTTCCAAGCTCTAAGCTCTGTCTGGAGCCAATAAGCTCAGTCAACAACAGTTTGACTGCTGCAAGAACAGTTGGTCCCGTCCAGTACTGCTGAGCAAAACAATAGGGAAGTTGTAGAGTCGTAGGCTGGCGGCTTTTTCACCAGTAGCCCTGGTACAAAAACTGATGACCATTATATACCATTATGATCTGGAATCGATAATCACACAATGGCCCTGCAAATCTGCGCACGTGCCTTGTAGCTACTTTTGGGCTGCGATCCAGGTACACCAAGCCAAACAGGCCTATCTAATTTAAATTCAGGCAAATGACAGCAAATGACCTTGTCGCGATGCATGAAAATTCTGTCTCCATGAAAAATGCATAAAAATGCTGAATCTGAGTAGGTATGCGGTATTTCATGCCTGAATTGCTCGCGATGCACGGCAACCGGCTCTATGATTGGGACTATCCTAAAATGTCAGCGGGGGATCTCGGATCTGCCCAAGACTATTAGGATTCTGCTGTCTATAGATGTCTATAGTACAGCCCAACGAGATGCACATAGATGCACCACATTCATTTCAACTTGTGAATTATGGAGTTGTGATGGCCAATTATTTAGTTGCAAGTTAGGAGCCTGTCGTTTTTGGCTTTATGGGGAATGACCGAAGTCAACTGAAACCACATTTGTCTTCCTTTGACGAAGACAAATTTGTCAGCTCTTATTAGTGGGAGACGAATCTGCACAACCTACAAACGCAAAACATTATTCGTCAGTCTAGGGCCAAATCAACGGTCAGTTTTTTTTGTCTGATTCAAATGTCGATACATTGTCTGAAGCCAGACCTTTTGCCCGCCAAATTCAATTCAGTGAAGTTAAAGTGCAGGAATTGCATGGAACTGTTTATCTTTTCCGTTTGTTTGTCCATCTTAGTTTGCAGCATACTTGAATATTCCTCAATACATCTTCCATGACTTTCCAAGGCCGCTGCGCCCGAGCTCACGTTAGCGCCCTCCGTCAGCTACTCCTCGACCTTCGCGCTGAAAAGGGGAGTTGGCTCCATACAAAATGCAACCAGGTTATGCCTTATCCTTTGTCTGTGCAAAAAAAATGTGTCCATACACTGGTAAGGTTACACATCATGGAACTATCGATCTCATTACCCTTCAACATCATAGTGATGCTTGATGAGTTTTGCTTGGTTATGTACGGCAGTCAATGGGGAGCCAAGGCAAAACATCATTTAATGCCTCGAAATGGTCAAGTGGTGGCGAATCAATGGCAAAAGCTCGAACCATCTCGAAGATTGTGACATATTGTGACTATGGGGCCGCATGGTATACTGCAGATTTGCTGGGGCTTTTGAAGCTGCGTGCTGTGCCAAAACTGGAGGCATATTCCCAACTAATTACACGTGTCATTTCAACTGTATTGCTAACTTTGACATGAAAGATGCGGAACAAAGGTGGGCCCCCCGAAAAAAGCCATGGTGAACAACATCTTCCCTTACACAGCTGGACATTTGTGGCAGCAAATGGGGAAGGAATTTCCAACGTTTCTGAGAGAGAAAGAAACGAAAAAACAACTAGCCGTCGCCAATGGCTCCAACTCTTTCAGAACTCAGAGTCTTGGCACAGTTCACATACCTGCAAAGCGCAACAACAATGATAGACTGCACTTCCTGGGTCATGGTGATAGCTGGCTGCATTGCGCATGCCATGCGCATGCCATGCGCATCCATGCGCCGACACACTTTTGCACTCATTTTGGAAGTTTCGGCTCATATTGGCCTGTGGCGAATGAATGCCTACAAAAAAGAACATCGACGCGTCTGCCCTGAAGAGCCTGAAACTTGAGCCTCTCTGGACAAGATGTGTTTGGAAAAAGAACTAAGGACTTGCTTAATATTGTATAATTGTATCATACAATATTAATAATTGGAATCTAATCAGGCCCACTGCTCTCAGGCATCTGGTTGCGGCATGGCGCTGGACATTCTTCAATCTAGCTTTTCTTCTGGCTGCATCCGCAGTTTCGACACTCTGCAGGCAGCTTCGGAGGCACACCACCGACCATAGCCAACCCAATCTCAACGATTCGTACCCGAATACACCACAAATATCTACAAAATACAATCAAATATATGCAAACAAAGACAACTTCTTTGAAGGCTTAATCCACAGCCAATCCAATTTAGCAAACTTCACTGATAGACAGATTTCAGGTAGTGGCCGCAAGGGCGTCCTCCCACAGCTTGCAGGCAGGTCAGAGGGGCTCAGAGCAGCTCACCAAATCACCACAGTTCCGCGTTGAACTTTCAACTCTTCTGCCGGCCCACCATCTGGCTCAACCTCAGCCACATGTTCGTTTCGAACGTTCTGGAGCAGCACTTAATCTGTTCAAAATGGATGCATCCCACAGCAACAGCAAATTTTGCACAATGAACTATGAAAAACTCTGTATATATACATATTATCTGGAAAGCAAACATGTGACAGCAAGATAACGGAAAGCGCTGGAATAGCGCAGAGAGTTGTTGAAGCGAAGCTATAAGGGAGGGGGTGAAGCGCGTGTGAAAATGGAAATCAGATTTGCAGGAGGAAGGGGACCAGTTTTGTGGGGCCTGAACATGTGTTCGTTGGGCCCCCTTGCCGCAGGGTTTCGTGCGCAAATAGCGTAAGAATTATTAAGAATTGAGATAATTTTTGTTGCAAATGGCTCTACAGCAGAGGAGTGTTAGTGGGTAAATAATGGAGCACGTTGCTAAGGGTACGTTTTCGGGCCCCACAAAAAACACAGGAATAACGGAATAACATAGAAAACGCAGAGAATAGTAGCTTGATCTATCTAGTTTGATGTATTTATATGTATTTATCTGATCTATCAATTTGTGTAATTATGCATCTAGTCTAGGTTGAGAATTTAGTAATCCAAATATCTAGTAGTGATGATCCAATACTCTAATAGCCCAATAATCTCTAAGGTCTAGCCTGACTGCCTACTCAATCTAATCTAATCCTACTAATCTACATGCCCGAAGGGCACATAATTTGGTTTAGTCTAGTCTAGCCTGACTGGCCTAATCCAATCTAATCCAATCTAAACCTACTCTAATCTAACCTACTCAAAGGGCAAATAATCTAATCTAACAAGAGCAACAACTTGAAAGGAAATCAAAAGTCTAGCGCAATCTAGTCTATCTTAATGCAACCTTTTCGAAAGGCACATGGGAAAACCTGAAAGAACCAGTCACTTTCGTTTCCAAAACGATGGCTTGAGTGCAGTTGAGCCTAAATCTTATCTAAGAAGGGCAGATGGGGACCTACTCTAATCCAATATACTCCAAGTTACTACATTAGGGCAAACACTTGAAGCACAATCGAATTTGGTCTAATCTAGTCTAGCCTAGTGCAATCTGCTCGAAGGGCAAGTGGGAAAACTTGAAAGTGGGTTGCATGCAGCTGTCTTAGAGGAGATGAGCCAAATCCTATTTGAAAAGGCAAACGGGGAAGAGCAAAACTTATTATATAGTCTAATCTAGTCTAGTCTAATCTAACCTAACCTAAATCAGCCTAACTCTAAATCCAAATCTAATCGAGTCTACTCGAAGGGCACATGTTTAAATTCAGTCTAACAAGGGCAAATGGGGCTAATCTAGTCTAGCCCAATGTAATCTAATCTAAGCTAATCGAATCTAATCTGAGTCCAATCTAGTCTATTCGAAGTTCAAACAATCTGATCTGATCTAATAAGAGCAAATGGCAGTGCAGGGGCAAAGGGGGCCGAAGCGTGGGTTTCCAACGTTGCGCTGTGACGCTCCCGGGGGCGGGTGGCGCTGCGACGCTGCGACGCTGCGACGCTCCGGGGGGCGGGTGGCGCTGCGACGCTGCGACGCTGTTGGCGCTGCGACGCTGCGACGCTGGAGTGACGCTGCGACGCTGTTGGCGCTGCGACGCTGCGACGCGGGAGCGACGCTGCGACGCTGTTGGCGCTGCGACGCTGCGACGCTGCGACGCGGGAGCGACGCTGCGACGCTGTTGGCGCTGCGACGCTTCCTTCTGCAAGAGTGCACACGGCGTTGCGTCGCTGCGCGACATGGAAACCCCCATTGAAGATCGTCAATGAATGTAGAAGTTTATATATAACGGGGCTGAAAGAATTAAACCCTTATTGAAGATCGTCCATGAATGTAGAAGTTTAAGGGGGCTCGGGAGAATTAAACCCTCATTGAAGATCGTCAGTGAATGTAGAAGTTTAACAGGGCTGGGGATAATTAAACCCTCATTGAAGATCGTCCATGAATGTAGAAGTTAAACGGGGCTGGGAGAATTAAACCCTCGTTGAAGATCGTCAGTGAATGTAGAAGTTTAACGGGGGTGGGGAGAATTAAAACCTCATTGAAGATCGTCAATGAATGTAGAAGTCTAACGGGGCTGGGGAGAATTAAAACCTCATTGAAGATCGTCCATGAATGTAGAAGTTTAACGGGGGTGGGGAGAATTAAACCCTCATTGAAGATCGTCAATGAATGTAGAAGTTTAACGGGGCTGGGGAGAATTAAACCCTCATTGAAGATCGTCGATGAATGTAGAAGTTTAACGGGGCTGGGAGAATTAAACCCTCATTGAAGATCGTCAATGAATGTAGAAGTTTAACGGGGCTGGGAGAATTAAACCCTCATTGAAGATCTTCAATGAATGTAGAAGTTTAACGGGGCTGGGAAGAATTAAACCCTCATTTAAGATCGGCCATGAATGTAGAAGTTTAACGGGGCTGGGAGAATTAAACCCTCATTGAAGATCGTCAATGAATGTAGAAGTTTAACGGGGCTGGGAGAATTAAACCCTTATTGAAGATCGTCGATGAATGTAGAAGTTTAACGGGGCTGGGGAGAATTAAAACCTCATTGAAGATCGTCCATGAATGTAGAAGTTTAACGGGGGTGGGGAGAATTAAACTCTCATTGAAGATCGTCAATGAATGTAGAAGTTTAACGGGGCTCGGGAGAATTAAACCCTCATTGAAGATCGTCATGAGTGTAGAAGTTTAACGGGGCTGGGAGAATTAAACCCTCATTGAAGATCGTCAATGAATGTAGAAGTTTAACGGGGCTGGGAGAATTAAACCCTCATTGAAGATCTTCGATGAATGTAGAAGTTTAACGGGGCTGGGAGAATTAAACCCTCATTGAAGATCGTCCATGAATGTAGAAGTTTATAAATAACGGGGCTGAAAAAATTAAACCCTTATTGAAGATCGTCCATGAATGTAGAAGTTTAACGGGGCTGGGAGAATTAAACCCTTATTGAAGATCGTCCATGAATGTAGAAGTTTAACGGGGCTGAGGAGAATTAAACCCTCATTGAAGATCGTCAGTGAATGTAGAAGTTTAACGGGGCTGAGGAGAATAAAACCCTTATTGAAGATCGTCCATGAATCTAGAAGTTTAACGGGGGTGGGGAGAATTAAAACCTCATTGAAGATCGTCCATGAATGTAGAAGTTTAACGGGGCTGGGGAGAATTAAACCCTCATTGAAGATCGTCCATGAATGCAGAAGTTAAACGGGGGTGGGGAGAATTAAACTCTCATTGAAGATCGTCAATGAATGTAGAAGTTTAACGGGGCTCGGGAGAACTAAACCCTCATTGAAGATCGTCCATGAATGTAGAAGTTTAACGGGGCTGGGAGAATTAAACCCTCATTGAAGATCGTCAATGAATGTAGAAGTTTAACGGGGCTGGGGAGAATTAAACCCTCATTGAAGATCATTGAAGATCGTCCATGAATGTAGAAGTTTAACGGGGCTGGGAGAATTAAACCCTCATTGAAGATCTTCAATGAATGTAGAAGTTTAACGGGGCTGGGGAGAATTAAAACCTCATTGAAGATCGTCAATGAATGTAGAAGTCTAACGGGGCTGGGGAGAATTAAAACCTCATTGAAGATCGTCCATGAATGTAGAAGTTTAACGGGGCTGGGAGAATTAAACGCTCATTGAAGATCGTCAATGAAGGTAGAAGTTTAACGAGGCTGGGAGAATTAAACCCTCATTGAAGATCGTCAATGAAGGTAGAAGTTTAACGGGGCTGGGAGAATTAAAACCCTCATTGAAGATCTTCGAAGAATGTAGAAGTTTGAAGGGGCTGGGAGAATTAAACCCTCATTGAAGATCTTCAATGAATGTAGAAGTTTAACGGGGCGAGGTAGTGTTCAGAGGGGGTCGCTGGCTTGATCTTCGAAGATGCAACATATATTCAAAGGGGGTGGCGGGGCTGATGTCTCAAGGTGCAACGTATTGTTCAGAGGGGGTTGGGGAGTTGATGTCTTGTGATGGTGAAGATGCAACATAGTGTTCAGAGGGGGTTCCAGGGCTACTGTCTCAGCTTGTCCGGTGGCTTCTCGGCTTCTCGGCTTCTCGGCTTCTCGGCTTGTCCGGTGGCTTCTCGGCTTCTCGGCTTCTCGGCTTGCCCGGCGGCTTCTCGGCTTCGCGGCTTCTCGGCTTCTCGGCTTGCCCGGCGGCTCCTCGGCTTCGCGGCTTCTCGGCTTGTCCGGTGGCTTCTCGGCTTCTCGGCTTCTTGGCTTCTCGGCTTGTGCCGGGCTTCTCGGCTTCTCGGCTTCGCGGCTTCTCGGCTTCTCGGCTTGTGTCGGGCTTCTCGGCTTCTCGGCTTCTCGGCTTCTGGTCGCATTTCTGGGCCCCTTTTGCCCGTGCTTTGGCAAATGGGGCATAGGAAAACTTAAACGCTGGCAATATAATTTTGTCTATAAGATTTCATGGGGCTGCACAAGCGCTCGTACAAGGCATGCCGAGAGGCATTAGTGGAAATTTGCTACGAATAAACATAATAAACAGCGTGTGGAAATGGAAATTATATAGATGGCGAAATTTTTGACTTGCAGAACAATTGGGTTCATGTTTGGCTGTTTCGGCTTCATTTTGGCTCATCTTGGGCACCTTTGGGTTGGCATTGCAGAATGTGGGGCTCATGTTGGGCTGTGGGTATCTGTGGGTGTCATCATGGTGTTTTGATGGTGTCTCCATCATGTCTTGGCACTGCGTTTGCAGTGTGTCTCCGGTTTTGCGGTGTTGTAGATTGTGGGTTCTGTCTTGGTTCGGCGGGTTGTATTGGTGGTATGTCAGTCATGATTTGGTGGCGTCTTGGCGGAGTGTCGGTGATGTCTTGGTGGCCCTTGGGCGGTTATGTATGTGCGTCATGTTGTGTTTGCGAGTTATTTTATTGATGTTGCGGTGGCATTTAAGCCGTACTTTTGGTGGTGTATGCGCGGTCTCTTGCATTCTCTTGCTTGTGGGTGTCTTGCTGGTGTTGGCTTGGCGTTTTTTGGTTGTGAGTCGGCGGCATGTGAGTGCTCATATATTGTCATATGGGTGGATATTAGATATTTCAATGGTGTCTTGCATCTGCGCGCACGGACACGCTACACAACATCAAACAATCCTGCACGCTTGTGGCCCATAACATCTCCAGTGTTTTCCTGTCCTTACCGGCGGAGCTAATAGGGAAAAGGCAGCTTGCGTGGTATGTCATAAAGTAAACAAGTGCACATCTCATCCGAAACAAAAAACACAAAACGGCCAGGCGACTTCTCATTTTCCAGGGGGATTGTCTGTTTTTCTTTCGTGCGGGTCTTCTTGACTGAGTGGTTGAAGACTTTTCGCAAGTTATGCAGATCCTCTTGGCAGCCGGCGTGCCAAAGTGTTAGTGGTGGGATAGTAGTTGCTATACCTTAATTGATAGTTTATACGAACGCTTTCCGTTGTTTGCCGGGCTGGTTTGCAGGAACCCATCTTTGGAAAGCGTTGTTCCAAGTACAGTACGCGTCTTGATCTGAGTTCTAGACCAGATGGTTCTTGTGGTATTCACGCTTGTGGTTCTGGTGTGGGGTTTGGCATGGTTGAGACATGGTTTTGGAAACAGCCTGGTATGGTTCTTGAATGTTCTTGATGTGATTTGTGATGAGCTAGAGTTTGATGTGTGGTGCTGATGGCTTTCAAATAGTACTCTGATATCATTTGATCTGGTTTTGATGTTCGTTTTGCGCCATGCTGCATGCTGGTTGCATTGGATTGGTCAGGCATGCTTCCTGCTATCTTCAATCGGTTTTTCCGGAGGGGTGTTGGCTGAAACGGAGGGGTGTTGGCTGAAACGTACAAAACATCAAAAAAATATCAGCCCCCCTAACATCCTTTGAAATAAACAATACAAGATGTCATTCTCTTACAATGTTCCCCCCTGGTAGTATCAAAGCCAGCCAATTTTTTTTACTGCTGGAGCAGCCGTCGAGAAACGTACGATTTTGATACATTTTGAATACAATGGGGCAAAAATAAAGGACCTCCCAAAAAAGAGCACAAAGATGCACAAAGTATACTAAAATATACTCGTCAAAAGCCATGTAGGAATATGTCAAATCAGTTCAGACGATATTATCAGGAGCCATGGCGAATCAGAACCAACCTCCACATACCTCTACAGTATCCTCCACATACCTCTACAGTATCAGAAAGTGCGCCAAATCCATTTCCACATTTTCCACAAATTCAACCCATAATTCCATTTATGAGATCTGTTGAGATCTGTATACGAAGAAACAAACACATCAACATCGTAAAAAAAAGTCAACACCTTTTGTCTTGGAGACTTACCAGTGGGATGTGACACAAGCAGAATATAGTGGAACGGTGCAGAATGGCATTCTGGAATACAGCGTTTGATGGTGTTACCGTGTTTTCTCATGTCTTCTGGCTCCCTCTCAAAGCTCACAAAGGCTGAATCTGAGTGACTATCAAAATGAAGTCTTCAAACCAGTCCTCGCAAGGTGGACACAACTCGTCCATGCCACCGGGCGGAATCTCCGCACGGATCTTTCCAACCCCAACCTTAGAACGGAACCAGTGCACGCTGTTGTGGAAAGCATCAAAGTAAGCGACAGTCTTCAAGGTCACAGTGATGGGCACCTGCGACAGGTTCTCGACGGTGATGGATTGGCGGGATTGAACCCTCCCCTTGGCCCACTGAATCCACATGTAGCTCATCCCCACAGCTGCGGCAACGCATAAGAGTGCGATGCCGGCAGCA